ACAAGGGTTGAAAAAAGTTTTTTTTTTTTTTTTAACGTTATTTAAATAATTATTTATTTAATTTAATTAACTTATTTATTTGGAGAGGTTTTTGCTATAGGGCGCATGCACTTGCCAGAAAGACAGAGAGACAGAAAGCAAGAAATCATCCCCGGGGAGAATGGCCACGCAGTAATCCCTTCTCCTCCATTCTCCTCTTGGGATCTTGGGCACGCACACACATGTGTCCAGCGTCAGTTTAAGAGGCCAGGTCCAGGACTTGAACCACGGTCAACTACATGGAAGCCCAGTGACATAGCCATTATGCCAACTGCTGGCCCCTTATTTATTATTTTTATTGTTATTAATTTATTTCTGTAGAGGTTTTTGCCTTAGGACAAATGCGCTTGCCAAAGAGAGAGGAAGGTGGGGGGAGAGAGAGAGAGACAGAGACAGTGTGAGGGAAAGTGAGAAACCATCCCTGCAACAATCCCTTCACCTCCATTCTACTCCCAGGAACTTGGGCATACATTCATGCAGATGTGCCCATCGTGAATTTCAAGCCATGAGATCTGGGACTCAAACTGCTGTTGGCCATGTTGAAGTCCAGTGACATAACTGCTACACTATCTGCTGGTCTCATTATTATTATTAATTTGCTGGGCCAGCAACTGGTATGGTGGTGAAAGGTGCTGGACTCCCACATGGCCGACGGTGGTCTGAGTTTCAGACCTGGCGGCTTGCTTCCTCACTTTTTCTCTCTCTCTTTCTCTCTCTGTTACTCTCTGGTCAAATTAAAATAAATAAGTAAATAAAGTTAAATAAAATCATTCTTTTAAAAAATTAAAAAAGAAATTTTCATAGGGCACATACACTCACTAGAGAGACAGACAGGGAGAGAGTAAGGGAGAAAGAAAGCTGCCAGGTCTGGGACTTGAACCTGGTTGGCCATGTGGGAGTCTAGTGCCTTAATCACTACACCACCTGCTTGTCCTTTGAAGGAAGTTATTGACGTAGAATGGCATGGACAAAGCAGGCGATTGGTTGTTTCAAGCACAGGAAATGAACCAGGAAAGGTTTAAATGGCAATAATTAGCTAATCTAATTAGTAGGGAGAAGGGCAAGCAAATTGTCTTGCCAGGCCTATTTGGATCTTGGGGATTTTGCAGCAGTTAACTTGGTTAAGGCAGAGTGTTAATGAGGTCACAGTTCATTCATGTATCTCAGTTAATTTCTGTCTTACCCAACTAGACCCTTCCTCCTTATGCTAAGAAGCCATCTCACTTGTGTAAGCCCTTTGCAGGGTCACAGGGAGGGGGGCTGAGTGTGAACAAGAATGGGGTTGGAAGGAGTAAGTGCTCAAGGTCATATGCTCACCTGAGTGGCTGCAGTCTATCATCTTCAAACTGGAAAGAGATACTGTACCACGGCAATAGGGAGAGAGGCGGGAAGTGTGGGTACCCCCAGAGGGCTGAGGGGAAGAGATTTCAGGGAAGAAAAAAGAAGTGAGCTCATTCTCCAGCAGTTTCATGCCTTTCTCCACGGGTGAAAGAAAGGCGACAGAGGGAAGGCCACCAACTGTATTCATTTGGCCAATCATTTTTTATTTTATTTAACTAGTAGCACTTAAAATTTTTTTTCTTTTAAAATTTTCAGAGATTTTTTTCTATAGGGCATGTGTGCTCACCAGAGAGAACGAGAAATGAAAAAATCCTTCCCCCCCCCCCCCCAGAAGAGGTTCAAGTCCCAGACCCGGTGGCTTAAACTCACACCAGGCACATGTGCGTGCGTGCGTGCCCAAGATCCTGAGAGGAGAATGGAGGAGAAGGGATTGCAGGGTGGTCATCCCCCCTGGGGGGTGATTTCTTGCATTCTGTCTCTCTCTTTCTGGTGAACGCACGTGCCCTCTAGCAAAAAAAATTCTCTAAAAAATAAAATAATTATTTTATTTATTTATTCATTTATCTTAACTTGACCAAAGAAAGACACACAGAGAGAAGGAAAGTGAGAACGTAAGCTACCAGGTCCAGGACTGGAACTGTGGTCAGCCATTTGGGTATGTCCAGTACCTTAACCATCACGCCACCTGCTGGCCCCCTAGAATGGTTTTTAAAATAGGTTGGTGACCACGGGTTCCTTCCTAACAAAATGTATCTCACCTTTCATCAAGTGCACACTTTTCTGGCCACAGATATTAACAGTTCTCTCCCCAACTATGGCAAGACTAGTTCTTTCCACCCTGACTTCTTTCTGTAAGTATGCAGAGAGAAAAACTAGACTGGTTTAGTGGCCCGGTGGTGGACGGAGCCGCGCAGTCCAAGTCCCCTGTGGCTTGAGAAAAACGCTAGTGTTCAGGCTCAAAATCCCGAAAGGGAGAGATGGAACAAAAAGAATTTGCGGAGTGATCATTCCTCATGGAGGGGTGGAGGGTAAGCTGTGCTTTCTCCTCTCTGTCTCTCTCTCTCTGTCTCTCTCTCTGGTGAGCGCACGCACCCTCTAGCATGAGGCAGAGAGCGAGAGAAACTATGCAGTCTTAACTCAGAGACTGGAGCGTCGGTTTCCCAAAGATGTCAAGCACAGCACCAGGCACTGGGGTGGCTACAAAGATGAAAAGAGCTTCTAACTATAAATAGAACATGACAAAGGCTTTAGAAGAGGCGTTGCGGCTCCGCGGATATCTGCTGCTGACACGCCCCCGAAGTCAGCACTGCGCCTACGCATTAGGTCCTGTGACCAAAGGCTCGCCAAGTAGTTTGGGCCTGGCGGCCTCGCTCCCCGAAGCCATCTCTGCGGCTTGGCTTCTCAAACACACGCCCCAGAGCCCTTTCTCGCCAAGAGTGTGGAACTACATCTCCCGACAGGCAGCGTGGTCCCCTTCCTTCCTCCCGCTCCGGGTCCCTAGCCATGGCAACGGCGT